TGTAGCAAACATCCTCTGTGTGCGTACTATAATTTAAGTAATAATACTTTTGCAATCCGTACATCCAATACGGAGAAAACCCACCGAATAAGAATGTGGTAAAACAGGGGGGCTTTAGCATCGCCTTAATTGCCCGTTATTTAGTTTTTTGTATTTTAATTAAAAAATTAATTAAATAGGCAAAGCATTAAATCACATTTGAAAAAAAAATGTTTGCAAAACCTTACAAAGAAAATATTTTTTATAAAATAATGTTTGCAATTGTTAAAACAAAATGGTAAAATATATCGAAATATATTCCTTTTTGCTTTAATAATGAATAAATAATTATATATGGAAAAGTAAATTTTGCCTAATTAAGAACAAAGTCAAAATTTACTTTAAATGTATGATTATTACTGAAGTAAAAGATGAATTTTTGATATATTTTTTAATTGTATTTTCTCAGATATAAACGTAACTTTATTGACAAATATTTTTATTTTATCGTGTTATGCTAGATTCTTTATCGCGCGTTTCCTTCTTGTTATTTACATTTTTGATATTAGAATTCAAAATGACTATAAGAAATCAACATCAAGCTTGTAATTAATCATTACTATATTACTTCAAATATAACGGTAGTATTTCGGATGGCTAGATCTGTTTTCTTTACATTAATTTTCTGTCAATACAAATATAATAATATACTTTGTAATATATAGATAATTAAAAGCAAAAGCTGTAAGAGGAACATGAGCACTACAGCACAAATATTGGAAACATATCAACGAAATCTAGAAAAATTATCAAATGAAATATACAAGGGAAATGAAACCAAATGTGAGATGCAAAAAGAAATACTAGAAGAATACAAAAAAATGAGAGAATCACACGAAATGCAATTATTACATGCAAATAATTTGCGTGAGGAAAAAAATAAACTGTTACAGCAATTAATAAAACTACAACAAAAAAATAATTAATACAGTTATATTGATAGATATATTAACAAGAAATGTTAATCAAATAAGTGGAAATACATATTTCTTTGTTTTTATTTTTATTATTAAGTACATATTTCTTTGTTATTGTCTAAAGATATATGTTGATACATATATCTTTGTTATAATATAATCAATATTATTAAGAAACAACTCTTGTAACCAAAGATATGCAATATTAATGTTTTATTTTATACTTTTAAAGAATACTTTAATGAGTGTATTTTTTTTAATTCTTGTAATCAAAGATATGCTATATTAATGTTTCATATTACAATACACTTTTAAAGCATATATTTAAAAAATAAATTCATGAATATTTTTTTAATATTTTATTGTGTAGAGAATTTGTTTTGTTTCAAAAATGAAAGTAGGTACATAACAAAAAAAAAAAATTTTTTTTAAAAGAATATATCTAAATAAAGTACGTTTAAAGAATATATTTTTCTCTTCACGTTTTACTGGAAAAATTTGTTTTATAAAAATAAAAGTTTAATATTATAATACTCCTAAAGATTGTATCTAAACAATGTATGTTTAAAAAATATATATTTTATTATGAAAATAAAGGTTTATATAATAAAAAAGAAAACTTATAACTGTGTTGAATTTTTTAATAATAATAAACAAAATAATCATATAAAGTGCGGTCTACATGTATTTTATTCTTTAAAAGATATATATATACAAAAACTATACTAAAGACATAAGAGAATATAAATATATACTAAAATCAAATGAGTATATAAATATATACTAATGACATATGAGAGATATTTAAGTATATTATGTATATTAAAATCTACATTTTTGTATTATTTTTTCTTTTACGTTCACATATTAATGCAATTAATTTTCTAAAGAACATAAGAAAAAAAGAACCAATAATCATTGAGATGTATGTATTGATATATGTAATATTGATAATGAAAAGAAATTTTATCGAAATTTTATGTAACAAAAATCCAGACAAATATCAGTTTTTCCTTTTCCTTCCTTAAGTAACTGAAAATAACATTAATTAAAAGTATGGAGAGAGAAAGAGATCTATAATGAGATTAACAGAAAACTATTTATATATGCACTAATTAAAAAAATGAATAAATTATGTTAACAGGATAAACTATTTACATGTTTAAGTAACTTTTAAATACGAGTTATTTCATAACTGATTATATCTGATCTCGTTTATGTACGCCTGTTTCATATTCTCTTGGTACTTCATAATTATCTATACAATAGGTTTGTGCATCTAAATCTGGTTGCTCGTCGTCTATAGGTGCTTCAAACAATGCTAAGTCCTGCACGTTGGCCATATTGTGCAAAACACAACAGGTATGTATGACACGAACCATTCGTGGGATGTCTCTTAATTTAAAATGATAAAGTTGGCGAAACCGCTGTTTCAAGTTTGCAAATGCGTTTTCAATTTTGACTCGACAAGAACTTAATTTCTGATTAAATACTCTTTGATTTCTGTTTAAATGCCCATTATCTTTATATAGGACGATTAATTGTTTTAAACAAGGATATGCACTATCCCCCAAAAGGAAATAATTATCTGGAAAAATATTAATAACTTTGAAATATTGATTTATTTTATAACTATCACGATTAATTATCACTTATTGTTTTCCATTTTTGGACTAACTAATCTTCACAAAGTTGATGTAGATCATTGTATATTGAAGAATTTTTTAACACTCTAGCATCATGTACAGAGCCTGGATATCCAATAAATACATCTATGAACTGTAATTTGTGATTAACTGTCTCTTGAATATGTAATGAAAAAAATTGTTTCCTATTAATATAAGAATCGGCATCTTCTATTGGTTTGTCAATCCTTATATGGGAACCATCTATAACACTTACAAAAACAGTAATGTATAAGTAAAAGATAAAAAAAACAAAACCTGAATATAAGTCGAATACAAATAATGCCAGTACGAGTTGACACCAGCTGTTTGTCAGCTCATATTGGCATTATTTGTATTTTATTTATATTTATAAGAACCTTGCAATATATTAGTAATGAATATAAGTGTGAATGCATTACTAATTATAGCAGGAAATCCTTTTTCTTGAAAAAAGTAAGTTGATGTTTCTTCTTTTTCTGCTATTGTTGGGTATCTTATAACATTATGTGCTAAAGACATAATAAATTCAGTCACTGTTGTGATTATGGTTTAAAGTGCTTATATATATATATAAAACCACAGATAACACAAAATATGTTTTTTAGCTGTTACTTTTGTATATCGTACACGATCTAAAAAATATATATAGAAAAAAAGCTTAAATTTGTCGGATATCGGGTAGAAAAATAATACAACTTCTCATTAAATAAAAACATACTTTGTATAGAAGTAAATATATTGGATACTCTGAATCGATTTATTAAATCGTTTGTTATTGCTCTGGATAATCGAAAATGCATTATAAAATCTCTGTTATCATAATTAGTAACGATATTTTCGATATAATTTTGTACTTTTTGTGCTGAATTCTTCTGATTAACTGTAATTGTGGATGTAATATTTGTATTTCGTTATATTCTAAAAACTTAGGGTTAGGTTAAATTTTGCGTATGTTACAATAATACTGATAATATAATAATATATGTAATATCTAAATATAATAATATATGTCATTTGTATTTCTTACCATCATTATCTTCGATTAAAATTGCTTCTAATAGTGGAATTACTACTTCATCTTCGTCAGATGAATCTAATAATTCCAATAGAACATGATCTGCCATGTTCGTTACTTTGCACTATAATGTTCTTTATTGCCTATTTGTACTGTGTCCTAACTCAGTTCTAGTTCAGTTCAGTTCAGTTCTAGTGCAGTTCTAGTGCTGCAATAAAAAACAAACCTAATTACGATGTACTAGTGTGCACTGGTGCATATAAAGACCGTTGTACATGAATAGCGATTTCGGCTGGGATGCACTAGTGCACATAAAACTGTCATACACAATTGCCGTAAAAATGTATTAAAAACAGATTAAATCGTATAATCCCCAATATATTTTATTGTACTGTTAATAAAATATGTATTTGATAATTTCCATTTCGTTTTTACACTCATAATGATTTCGGCTGGGACGCACCGACTGTACATTTCGGGTGTCGGTGCAACACATTAGTGTGTTCGGCTGGTCGAATGGTACAGTTCCTCGCCAGTGTCACATGTTCATCTGGTACACAGCACAAATGTACACAAAGTGGCCCCGACAAATTTGTTGGGGCCAGTTAGTGTAATTGTCGGGCTTGGTGCTTTCATGAGACGCTGAAAAGCAGCGTGTGTGTGATCACATGGTATTAATTTCGCTAGTGTCTGATTTCGGGTACGGTTCACTTGATGTTTCGAAACTTTTATTTGAAGAAAGAATTTTACCTGACCAATCAAAAAATGCTTCGAAGCATTCGTAGTATCGAGTTGACCGTAGCCAGGCATATAGCGTTTTCGATTGGGCAAAAGTTAGTGCGCACCAGTGCGCACTCAGTTCACACCAACACTGGACGAGTTCCATGGGTTGCACTGAATAGTGCAAGTTCAAAAGAATACGCCAAGATTTTCAGTGCTAAAGCTGAAACTCATTTTTGTTCACTTTGAAGCAATGTTCAACAAAATGTTACAAAACCACAGTATAAGATATTAAGAATAGGGACAAGACCCCGTTTTTAATTCAACTGCGCAGATTTGCTTGTCCTTATGTATATCCTTAACTGTGATAAAACGTGCACTGAACTGGCACCGTCAAAATATCTCGTGCCACTTAGTGCGCACTGAGTGCGCACTACGCGAGTGTCGTGCGATCAAATGAACACGTGACACTAGCCAAGTGCGCATTGGCACTGCCAATCGAACACGCTCTTTCGCGGTTACGCGATACGCGGCAAACACGCTTCATGGGACTCCACCCTTAGTGCGCACTACGCGAGTGTCGTGCGATCAAATGAACACGTGACACTAGCCAAGTGCGCATTGGCACTGCCAATCGAACACGCTCTTGACACTGAGTGCAGCCAGTGCACCTCAATCGAAAACGCTAATAGTCTTCGTCTGAAAATTGATATCCTTGTAGCGTCAATTTTGATTTTATCGTGAGTGATTTATATGTGCTCATGGAAATTTTGACATCATCGTCATCAAGTGACGAATTAATATTGATAGAACATAAAAAAAGGCAGAGCGAAAATAAAAAATTACATTGAAGAAGTCGAAACCCACCCTGGTAGCAAGCTGACGTCAAAATGACGTCATTTAACGTCAAAATGATGCAGCTTGCTACCTGGGCATGTGGAACAGTACAATTATAGACCTTATTTTGTCTCTGTGACAGATTTCCTAACCTCAATAGTCATCAACTTTACCGCTTAATATCTCAGATCATAATGGTTACTGCACACTGGACGCGATGAGCGATGAGCGACGAGCGATATCCAATGAGAGCTTTGCTTTGCGTCGTCACGTGAGAAAAAGCAGAGTTTTTATTGGATATCGCTCGTCGCTCATCGCTCATCGCGTCCAGTATGCAGTAGCCATAAGGCAGGGCGACGCTTTTTTTGCCATATTCTTTCATTTCATGCAAAAACGCGTCGAATAATGTCCGATAAAACAGTGAATTGTAGGTTAATGAGGTTCACATTTCGTGAATCTCGTGTTCGCCTGACAAAACATACACTGCCGCGGTGGTAGGTTTTAACAGTGTACAACGGTGTTAATAAGCACTAGTGCACGTTGGTGTTTCCAGCCGAAATCGCTATAAAATTAATTAATTTTATAGTTTTATTGCTAAAATGAGTATTATTATTGATTAATATCTTATTCCAGAGTACACATCATAAAATTATGATGAAAAAAAAAAAGATTTTCTCTGAATTCGGGAACTTAATTTCATAGTACTTCAAAGCGGTCACCCATCCGATTGCATACCGCCATTTACTACGCTTGACTTCTGAAATTGTCTGGAAACCGCTGCACTTCAATGATCCACGAACACCTGTATAATCGTGGATGTATAGCTATGATATATCTGTTCAATATATGGTCCTTGTTGGTATACGCTCTTGAGATACTAAATACTTAGCATAAATGAATGAATGGTATGACTTGACTTTAGCTGCACATGCGTCTGTCTTGTTGCTACGTTACGATTATTATTCTGTTGTCAGCTTTTTCGTTATTGTGTTCATCTTATATACTTCTAATAAAGATCTATTGGCTATTAATTGTGTTTGTTAAAACTCTCTGCTTATAAATAATCAAACTAACATTGGTTATGGGCCCAGGATTCGCGATAGTGAATTGGTTTTATTGAGAAACGAAAAGAAAAGTTCACTTCCTAGTTCACAACTTCGAAAGCGAAGATCAATGTGAGAAGAACAACGTGTAACGAGAAAATGGCTGAAACGACGAACACAAATACATTCACAAATACATTTGTCCCGATTAATAAATTGCGAGGACGAGAGAATTATGCTACTTGGAAAATCGCTATGGAAAATCTACTCAGTATAGATGGTTTGTGGAAAACTGTACTCGGAACAGAAGAAAATGCTGAAAAAATAATAAAGGCGAAGGCTAAGATAATTTTAAGTGTAGATGAAACATTATATATACATGTGGCGAAAGCGACCACAGCGCAAGAAGCGTGGAACAATCTTCAGGAGGCGTTCGAAGACAAAGGACTGACACGTAAGGTTGGTCTGCTTCGTAAAATTACGACAACAAAACTAGAGAATTGTAGTTCAATGGAGAAGTATGTGAATCAAATTATATCTGCTGCGCATCAGTTAACGGGTATTGGTTTTCACATTGATCAAGAATGGCTGGGTACCGTGTTATTGGCCGGGCTTCCTGAACGGTATGAACCGATGATAATGGCCCTAGAAAATTCAGGTCTAGAGGTAACGGGAGACACGATTAAAATGAAACTTTTACAAGAGTCGAGTTATCTTGATAAGTCGAAGAAATCGATAGATAGTGATTCAGCCTATCATGTAAGGCGACAAACGAGAAACACAAGATCATCATGGCAAATGTCAAGAAATATAAAATGCTGGAATTGTGATAAATTAGGACACATTTCAAGTGAATGCAGGAACAAGAGAAATGAGAGCAATGAAAAAAGATACGAAAAGGATAAAAAGGAGAACAGATATAAAGGACAATCAAATTTTGAAAAAGGAAAAGGAAAATCTGACTCAAACATCAAGGCGGCGTTTCTAGTGGACAACGAGATAAACAACGAAGGAGATGATCAAGGATGGATAGTGGATTCAGCGGCTTCCATGCATATGACTCCAAATAGGAAACTCTTCGATTCCCTAATGCCGTACTCTGAAAAGGTGACTGCAGCAGATAACAAAAGACTATCTGTGGAAGGAAAAGGAACGGTAATCGTATCTGTATTAGTAAAAGGTAAAATTCATAAGATAATTTTACAAGATGTATACTATGTTCCTGGACTGAGCGCGAATCTATTGTCAGTACCTAAAATAGTTCAAAAAGGTTATACTGTTACTTTTGAAAGAAGTGAATGTTTGATAGGGTATATTAACGGAGAAATACTAGCAGTTGCGAAAGCACACAATGACATTTATAAGTTGGTACAACCGATCAACGTGGCGTATAATTGTAAAAAGGATAATAGTATACTATGGCACAAAAGATTAGGTCATTTGAATAGAATAGGAATGAAGCTTCTAAGAGATAAACATGCAAATGGTCTCAATTTTACCGATCCTGATGACAGAGTATGTGAGATATGTGTTAAAGGGAAACATACCAGGAAGTCAGTTGTCAGCAACGAGCGAAGAGCGAAGAGGATATTGGGATTGGTGCATTCCGATTTGTGTGGACCAATGGAAGAAAGCTCGATTGGAGGAGCTAAATATTTTATTCTATTTGTAGATGACTATTCACGAAAGTTAAGTATTTATTTTCTTAAGGGCAAACATGAAGTCCTGGAAGTATTTAAAATGTATAAAGCATATGTTGAGAAAAGTAGTGGTCAACAGATCCAAGCGCTGCGTACAGATAATGGACGTGAGTATATCAATGAAGCATTTAAGTATTTTCTTCAGGAACACGGAATTCAACATCAGTTGACAGTTCCATATACACCGCAGCAAAATGGTCTTGCAGAACGTTGCAATCGTACTGTAGTCGAGAAGGCACGTTGTATGTTAGCGGAAGCAGATCTTTCCAAGAAGTTTTGGGCAGAAGCTTGTAACACAGCAGTGTATCTCATTAACCGATCGCCGGCCAAGAGACTTTTAGGAAAAACACCACATGAATTTTGGTCGGGTGAGAAACCCTTCTTATCACATTTAAAAATTTTCGGTTGCAGGGCAATGGCTTATATTCCCAAGGAATTGCGACGAAAATGGGATGAAAAATCAAAGCCCTGTTTATTTGTTGGATATCTGGAGCATACCAAGGGATATCGTTTGTACGACGAGAAAACTAAAAAGATCTTCAGAAGCAAGGATGTAATATTTTATGAAGAAAAAGAAGATACAACTAAAGGTAGTAAGAAATTTTGTGAAGAAGAAAAAGAAATAGAAGAAGAAGAAATAGATACAACTGCTATAACTGTTACAAGTACTGCAGGGACCACGAGAAATGCTACAAATAAATCGAATGTATACATATACTCTTCCCCGGATAATCCTGAAGAACAAGAAGAAACAGATGAAGATGAGACACAGAATCAAGAAGCTCAAGAAATTACGAACAATTCGACTGAAGAAGTGATTGGTGAAGATGAAAATGCCACAAGTTCAGAATTATCTTTATTGGAACCACGTCATAGTGATCGCACACCAAAACCAAAGAAATGGCTTGACTATATTACCTTCATGATCATGCATGAACCAGAAAGGGACGAAGAGCCAGCGACTGTTAAAGAAGCGCTAAATGGTACTCATTGCAAGGAATGGCAATCTGCTATGCAAGAAGAAATCAATGCATTAATAGGAAACGAAACATGGGAACTATGCGTGCCACCAAGAGATAAGAAGATACTCAAAACTCGATGGATCTTCAAGATTAAGGAAAATCCTCAAGAAGGAACTAGAAGATACAAGGCCAGATTAGTTGTGAAAGGCTATGAGCAAGTACCGGGAGTTGACTATCATGAAACGTTTTGTCCAGTTGTCAGATTTACAACATTGCGATGTATGTTTGCAGTAGCTGCAGAAAGAAATTACGACATTGATCATTTAGATGTTGTGACAGCTTTCTTGAACGGTGATCTTGAAGAAGATGTCTATATGGAACTGCCAGAAGGTTTTAAGGAGAAAGAGAATGACGGAAAAGTTTGTAAACTCAAAAAGGCGTTGTATGGCCTGAAACAAGGAGCAAATGCCTGGAATAAGAAACTGGAGCAGACACTACGAGATATTGGATTCACGCGTTCAGAAGTTGATAGAAGTCTTTATACATTAAAAAGAAAAGAAAGAAAAGAAGAGAAGGTTATATATATAACTACATATGTTGATGATCTACTACTGTTTTCGAATGATAAAAGGCTCAAGAGATCTGTTATAACAAATTTAGAAAGAAGATTTAAAATGAGAAATCTAGGTCCAGTCGCCAGGATCCTGGGTGTCAACGTATTTCGAGACAGAGATAGAAAATGTATAACTCTGAATCAATCTGACTACATAAAAGAAGTCCTGAAGAAATATAATATGGAGAATTGTAAACCAGTGAAAACACCGTTGGATACGAATCAAAAGATGATCAAAAACACCGAACTTCAAGATAATGCGAATATCTTTAGTAAGAATATACCTTACAAGGAAGTTTTAGGTAGTTTTATGTATGCTTATCAGGTAACACGACCAGATTTAGGTTCGGCGATTTCGATTTTAAGCGCGTTTGCGGAGACACCAGATAAAATGCATTGGAATGCATTAAAACGAGTTTTAAGATATTTAAAAGGAACAATAAATTATCAATTAAAATTTAATGGATGTAAAAATACGGAATTGGTAGGTTATAGTGATGCTAATTGGGCGGGAGATTTAAATAACCGTCGTTCAACAAGTGCTTATGTTTTTCTACTAGGAGGTACAGCGGTTTCATGGGCTTCCAAAAAGCAGAAAAGTGTATCACTATCGACTACAGAATCAGAGTATATTTCAATTGCTTTGACGATTCAAGAATCATTGTGGCTAAAGAGTTTATTGATGGACATTAATAGCACATATGTAGATTCTGCAATTAAAATATACTCAGATAATCAGAGTGCAATTAAGCTTGCACATTCGAATCACTATCATGCTAAATCAAAACACATAGATACAAAATATAATTTTATAAAAGAGATTATAATGAACAAGACAATTAGTTTAGAATATATATCTACAGAGAATATGATTGCGGATTCATTAACTAAAGCGGTAACTAAAGATAAAAATGATTTCTGTAATAATGGTATGAATTTATGTTAATAATAAATTGATCAATGTTCATGATTTATTTGTTATAGTATCTCAAGTTCGAGAGGAGAAATGTTGGTATACGCTCTTGAGATACTAAATACTTAGCATAAATGAATGAATGGTATGACTTGACTTTAGCTGCACATGCGTCTGTCTTGTTGCTACGTTACGATTATTATTCTGTTGTCAGCTTTTTCGTTATTGTGTTCATCTTATATACTTCTAATAAAGATCTATTGGCTATTAATTGTGTTTGTTAAAACTCTCTGCTTATAAATAATCAAACTAACAGTCCTGATAGAACTTTATGCACTTCAACTGAACATCCAGTCAGTTACTGTCTAATATTTCATTTTAATGTTATAACGATTATTTTCAGGTTAGGCAATCATACGCTGTACTTTCGCAGTACCAGTTATCATGTATATCGTCTTCTTCGACTAGAGGTCTCCGCAGTTTCTCTCCTGTCGATAATGGTACACCGTATTGATACGGTACGGGTTATGTACCATGACGTACCTAAATAGTACGCAGTAGTCAGTACAGGTACAGTGTTGATACGCTGTACTATAATATCACGTACACTTTTTGTACTGCTACCGTACACCGCCACCTTGTGGCAGTACAGTAATAGTACGGTAGCGGTATCTTGTGCGGGTATCGCACGCTTGTCTATCTGGGGTACTATAATATCACGTACACTTTTTGTACTGCTACCGTACAGTTACGCCATACACCGCCACCTCGTGGCAGTACGGTAATAGTACGGTAGTGGTATCTTGTGCGGGTTGGTGTCGGTATCGCTTGCTTCGTTATCTGAGTACACTTCTAATCTCTCGTATGGCGCGCGTCGATAAAGTAGAACGCTCTTCATGCAAAGTGGCGCAAATTTCGCGCTGCTATATCGAGCTACCCTCGCTATTTCTTTTATGATCACATGACGTCATCGTATGGCGTGCTTCTCTTCTCTCACTGTTCCTCATCGCCACCTACGGAAGGGATCGTACGGCAGAGAGAGAGAGAGAGAGAGAGAGAGGGGGGGGAGGGGGGGGGGCAGGTTGGTTGGCTAGCTCCGGCGCATGAACTGCGTTGTATCTTATAGTTCAGTAAGCTCAGTTCAGTACGTTTGGTGCTGTCGTGGAGTGAGGTTAGGTGATATCGTGATTTTATGTGACTCGCGCTACCGATATGGTCGCTCCTCGCGAAGCGTCGTCTGTGTCGTGCGTCTCGTATCGCGTCGATCGTTTGGATTTTGACGACGTTGGAATTTCAAACGCGAATTTTCGTAGATTTGCGGCGTGAAATTTATCGTACATCGCGTAGTGCAACGTGTCCTTTGAAATTCGGTTCGTCGTGTTCCTGCTCAGAGACGCTCAAGTACGATCGATGCGTGCATCTTCGTCTAATCAATTGCAACGTGTTTTTGACATATCACTCGACAAGTTCGTGATCTCTAAAAATTGGTGATAATTCCTGAGGAATCGGCTGTCCTTTTTGAAAGTTGATTGTGCCAATATAATCTATACATTGTGAGAAATAAGTGAAGTTTTTGTCAAACTGAAAACTTGAATCGAGAGTTTAAACACGTTTCGATATTACAGATTACATGTTTTATCCATATAATATTCATGTAAAATGTAATTCGAGTATATACACAAGTCGATGTAACAACGTGATGATTTAAATATCTGAAAATCTGACAGTTAAACACGAAAATATACTTAAAAAATTTAAAAATTAAAAGATTTAAAAACTTGCAGGACATTGAAATAATAATTGAAAATCTAACTATAGGAAGGGGGAATAATAAAAAGTTAAAAGAGAGAGCGATTATCCATAAGCAGCACTAAACTTATCAAGATTAAAAAGTTGAAATTTAATAAAAATATTTACCAATTTTGGTAACTAAAGAGAGGCAGAGAGAAAGAGTGTCTACAATTCTGATAAGTTAAAAACTTGACAGTGTTCCATAATGCAAAACTGAGACGTTGAAAAAATTTCATAGTAGCTGCAGCTATCCTACCTTCAAACTCAATCTGATCATTTATAGAGATCTCTAGAGCATTCCAAGGTTGTGAAATGATAATCAGCAAATTACTCTAAAAATCAAGGATCAAAAGATAATTTAAGAATTAAATAAGTTTCTTCAATTTCTTGAAATTTATAAATTTACTCTGAAAATCCATTCGCGTTTGGTAGAGCGTTTAATCAAAAGTGGAAGCATTTTGATGATTCATCATCAATATGTTCTCATAGAAGGAGTTTGCAAGCGAAAGTAAACGGAGAGAAGACTACAGGCACACAATCGAGAGTGAAACGTGTTTGATCTGCGAGAGTAGGTATATCCATTTGTGAACGAGACAACGAATCGACTGGTCCATATTCAATATCCTATAGACGGCTACTTTTTTCTCCCCTCCGTTAACATTGCATTGGCGGACAGGTGACACTTGCTTATCTAAGTTTTTGATGCATAGACTGAACTGTTAGTAGATCAAGCGATCACGTCGATCTCTCTAAAAGACAGATAGGGTGATCCGGGATAGGACTGATCGCTGAAGAAGCGATAAAACATGTCGAGGTTGCTGAAAGGAGAGCCGACGGGCGGTTGTGTGATTGGCTCGTGCGCAGATCGAGGATCGTATTAGCCCAACTGGCAGTGACGCATGTCGTAAGCCACGTGAGAGCAACCGAGGAACGACACGCTGGACGTCACGCAGGATCGGAACTCACGAAGAGAGAGTGACAGCGAGGGAAATAGAAATTGATAAACAGATAGAGAAAGAAAGGGAAAAGAGATAGCTGCGGTAAAAGCTTTTTTGAGAGAGAGAGAGAGAGAGAGAGAGAGAGAGAGAGAGAGAGAGAGGCCTGGTGACGAGCTTCTTATTACCCACCGGAAGTCATATGCCCATACACGCGCGTAAAACGGTAAATAGTTATACATCTTTATGTATATACATACACATATACATGTAATAGATTTGTACACATTATTTATCTTCAGGGAATGGAAAATTACTTTTTAAAAGTAACAAGTTACAGTTACTCGTTACCGAGTAGGAAAAGTAACAAGTTACCGTTACTACACGGAGAGAA